AATAATAGATAGATTTATTTTCTCTTCACAATTCATTCATTACAGTGAAATACAATGAGGCATGCTTATATTAATCAAATTATAAATATAATCGTGAGGGCTGGTGGCTGGTGCCTGAGATATGTATAAGAATACCTGTATTACAGGTCACCAGGGCCTCACTCCGCAGGGTTACTTACTAAGTACTTGTAATATAATAAGTGAATTCAATGTAATAAATACAATTTATAGGAAGAGATTATAATTTAATCTGGAAGTTGTGTGTGTGTGCGTGTGTGTACGTGCGTGTGTGTGCGAGTATGTGTGCGTGTATGTATGTGTGTGTCTGTAGGTGCATGCGTGTATGTATGTGTGTGTCTGTAGGTGCATGCGTGTCTCTCGCTGTGTGTCTTTGTGTTTGTACGCATATCATTGTAAGTCGCATAAAGATGTAGTATTTGTGGCATTTGGCAGTGTAAACTTTAGTCATGCCTAATAACTTTACAACAAGAGACTTATTATACTATTGAAATAAGGTTCTAATTTGTGTACGTGCAAAATATGAAAAGACAATTTTACGAACCTATTGTTCTTCAGTTTCACATTCATTTTCCTCTAAAATACCCACCGCTATTGTATATTTTGTGTAACACTTGATATTATTGCCAGTGAGGCAGATATTTCCTCGTTTTGTAGAATAAGGCTTATATTATTTCTCATAATATCAACAGATGGCAGTGTTTGCAACATATGGTGTCTCCGTTTGTACTATGTAAATAATAGTATACCATAATGATATTTGCTAGCTTGTTTTTTTTTTTCAACTGATCAAATATTATTATTGTTTCAGCCGTTAACTGTCCACTGTTGAACATAAGCCTTCCCCAAAGGAGAGTTTTACAGGCAAGTTGGAAAACGCAGTTAAGCTTTTAGAGATGTTTTAAGAGGGACGCTGCTGCCCATCCCTCTGTCTCTTAGTCGCATTTTACGACACCCACGGGAAAGGAAGGGCTGGCCTCTTCTATGCCGGGACCACACAGCTAATTGTAATATTGGTTGATAATTAATCGTTTAAATACATTACTCAATATCTTCGCCTATTAAATAAAAATGTTTCTTTTTATACCGTTAAGCCATTAAGTACGAAATTTAAGCTACACGTATCACATACATATTTGGACATATAGACATACACAGCAGTCAACCATTCTCCTTTGTGGTAAAACAAATAAGGATAAATTTTAATTTCATTTTCTAACCCGCTTAAATATGAGATATTTGATAATACCATAAATAGAGTACATTTTGCGGTAAACCGCTATCTACATCATATTATAATGCATATTATTATAGTTACAAATAGATAAAATTGTTAATGGAACATATGTATTTTCATATTAAATTAGATATAATAATATAAATAAATCTAATTAAACCATGAAATTAATTATAATTTTAGATTGTGTTACAAAAAAAAAAAGGACTTCAACTGGGAAAACCATTTGATTTAAAAGCTAAACTCCTGAACTGATTTTGATTAAATTTCTATGGAATCAATTGGAAAGAAATAAAAAAAAACCAAATATGTTTTAAAACTGACGGATTAATGAGACAACAAACGAAAAAATATCATCGAATTAAAATCCTTCTTCCTTTTTTAAATCGGTTGAAAAATAATCAAAAACTTTTATATAAAACCATATATTTATCTTTACTAATAGATTAGTATCTGTTAGTAATATCTTAATATCTAATCTATAACCGACAGCCGACGGGAAAGAATGGTTCTTGTGTGGCCACCCCGTACGGGCAAACGCAGTGCAGGACGACCCCCCTCCCCCACTAGATGGAATGACGACATGAAATGCGTTGCACGGAGTCAGTGGATGCAGGTTGCTCTGGACCGTTCTTTATGGCAGTCTATTATGATGGTGATGATGATGATGATGATGATCTATAGTAATAACTTAACATAATATAAAGAAAAATGTTTTAAGTATATGAAAATAATTAACTGTGTTTATTATTTATCAGATAATAATTTACAATTGACACTCAGGTGTAGACCTAGTACTGTTTGCAACCATCTTAAAAAAAAAAAAACTAGATTCTCAATTTACATTCATTTATATATATAAAATGTAAACCATAAAATATGGTTTCTTTTTCTACCATTTAAGCATTTATACATCCAAGAAAATGCACAGATATAGTAACTATACGTACTGTAGTATGATACATGTATATACAGGGTTTTATTTCATTGCTCTCACCGGACCTCACCTGACTTCCTGTTCAGGGTATTACGTGATATTCTTGCAAATTCTCAATCCGCTTTTTTATATAGTTCTTATTGCAAACGACACGATTTACTGTCGTATTGGTTTCATATTAATTTCCTCAGGACTGTAAAGACGATTTTTATATGCGGATAAAATTCTGCTAAAAGTAAAATGTTAACACATAAGCTGTCTTTTTTTTTTATTCAATTTAGAATGGCAAACAAGCGACGGTCCACCTGATGGAACGTGGTAACCGTCGCCTATAGACATGAGCAGTACCATGGACATAACCATGCGTTGCCATTCCTGAGGACTCAGGTGTTATTCCTCTGTACACAGTAAATTCACGTCATATCCCACCCTTCAAACCGAAACACAGACATGCGAATACAACTGCTTCACGGTTGAAACACGAATGGGACAGAGGTACCCAAGCAATCGACTTTTGTACAAAGTCTCCCTCTGGTGTCTCATTTAAATATTTCATGTACATACCCATATTCGTGCAATAAAAGATTTGAATTTTAATTTGAAGTCGGTTGAAAATATTTAAAAGTATGTAAATATATGCATATTAGATGAACATATTTTTTACATGACGGTATGTATAAACTTATAAAATTACGTATAAAATTAATGTCAAATTGTGAATAATAATAATAATAATCAAAAGGAACAAAGTTCTCAATTCAGTTAAATTTTTGTTTTGTGTTTATTGCCTCATAACTCCGTCAGTTACTCAGTTATAATAAACAAATCGTTTTTTTATCTAAAAAAATATACCTACAGATTGATCTCGTAGAAATTTTGTGAAAATTGATACAATAGCTTATATTATTCTCAATTTCGTGTATAATATAGTATATCTCTCCTATATATGTGTAAGTATATTTGGTATTCATATATATTTATTCGCTTATATATGTAATTTTAGTATGTATATATATCAATAATTACTAGTACCGCATTCGAGTATTCTGACACCTCCCTATGGTTGACTGGGAGAGAATGCTTTTAGCATTAAGTCCACCATGTACACATATTTGTACTAATGAATAAATAAATAAATAAATAGTTAACTTTTGAAATCAAAATACTCCTAGTATTGCCACAATTCAGCGCAGTTTCTTTTGTGCAACACTATCCTTTATAAATCTAACGTGACTACGAATTATATTGCTGATCATGTATGAGCTATATTAGTGTAAAAGAAGTATAATGAAATCATTTATTAAATAATTTGATTTTATTAAGAAATTTAATTTAATAATTTACATTTGGTACAAACTAATATTGTTAAAATGTTGTGGGCCCTGGTTGCCTTGATTAAAGATTTTATTTATTATTATTATTATTATACTGTTGAGTTTCTTGCGGGTTCTTCTCAGTAGATAAAAATATTCCGAATCCAGCAGTAGAATCATAAAAAAATTACGATTTACAAGAGCTTGTAAACAAGTCTATTTGATTAAAGATTATTTCTATTCTACTCTGTTAGCTTTTATCTGTGACTTCATCCTAGTAGCTATAATATCTTCATTGAACGAGATAAAAAATAGTCTATGTCTTTCTTTATCCCATATATAGTACTTGTATACCAAATTTCATAGTGATTAGTTGGTAATCGTTAACAAATATATAAATAAACAAACTTACATTCACATCCTATTAATATATAATAATAAATGCGAAATTTTGTAACAACGGATGGGTGTTTATTACTCTTTCATGCAAAAACAACTGAATAGATTTGAATGAAATTTGGTATAATGATAAATAATCTACTGATAATCTACTATCTGATCCTAACTTATCATACAGAAAATTTTAAATATTGATTCATTCGTGTGAAGTTGCGAAATATAGGTAAGTTTTTAAGTATATATATACAAGAATAATACGGCCCACCTGATGGAAAACAGTTACCATAACCTATGAACGCCTGCAATACCAGAAATATTACGTGCACGTTGCCGACACAGAAGAAACCTCATTATCCCTGTTTTTAAAAACCCCATTCTGGTAGTCTCGTGGAAAAACCTCACAGATAGGCACTTATGTTTCGCGTAAAATAAGGAGCTCATTTATTATATATTTTTTTTGTAATACAAGAATAATACTTTGCCCTTATTTCTTCACTAATGCATTCGGGACGGTGTATGTAAGTGTGTGTGTATTGAACAAACATCATTGTGTCGCATATGACCCAGTTAAGCCATGAATGGTCAAGACTAAGTAGCGACAATCAAGGTGTACCCACATAGATATGTACAGTCATCCATTAAAGTGATCATGCGTAGATATACTGGTATTTAACTCAATTTTATTACAGTTTTACTGGTAAATATCTTAGATGCGTAAACCTGCATTTGAGAATTCTAAATTACCTAATCTTACAAAAAGGAAAAATTGAATGTTTTATTTGTAATAGATGTACTTAAAAAGTACTTAAGGTTGCCTGGAAGAGATTTCTTTTAGCGATAAGGCCGCCTATTGTTTTATCAGCGCGACCTTTTCTTGTAATTTATTTTTTGTACTTTTACTAAGTTTACTACTAAGATCTTTGGAGAGAACAATAAAGAGTATCTCTATCTATTTATATAGACGATTTAAAAAAAAAAAAAACACCTACAGAAAGCTCCATTATCAATAAGTAACATAGCTTGGATTTCCAAAGTCGCGCGAAGCCGGGTCGGGTTGCTAGTAATTTAGTAAGTAATAATTTATTAACAAACTTACCTTCCGACAACTCGATCGTATAACTTATCACTATAGTTGAATCTCGTGACTTTTCCCGCGTGAATTTGTGCATACTGAGTAAGCGTTGGCTTTACCTGTAACAAAAAAGGAATTATAAAGTACATACATACATACATATCTGTCACGCCTGTCTCCCATTAGGGTAGGCAGAAACAATGGAATGCCAAATGCTTCGAAATTATAAAGTATAAAAAACAATTTGCCATCAATAATTCTAATGCTAAGCTGTAGGGTCCAAGCATAGAATAGGCTATCCCATGCTTTCCCGTGGGTGTCATAAGAAGCGATCTTCTTAAAACATCACTAAAAACTTAACTGCGGTTGCCGACCTGCCTGGCAAGCGTGGCTTATTGGAAAAACTCCCCAAGGGGGAAGGGGAAGGCAATCGATTACAGGTTCCGAGTACCTGTGGTACCCGAATATTAGTCGTATGTTTATTGTACGTTTTTATGTTCAATTTTACTTAATTATTAAATGAAATTATTAATTATTTATAAAGAGTAAATTTCAGAAAACAATTGAAAAATTACTCGATTTCGATAAACCATTTGTACAAAAGTCGATTGCTTGGGTACCTCTGTCCCATTCGTGTTTCAACCGTGAAGCAGTTGTGTTTGCATGGCCGTGTTTCGGTTTGAAGGGTGGGATATGGCGTGAATTTACTGGGTACAAAGGAATAACACCTGAGTCCTCAGGAATGGCAACGCATGGGGGATATCATGGGCGGAACAGTATACTCTGTTATGTCCATGGTACTGCTCATGTCTATAGGCGACGGTTACCACTTTCCATTAGGTGGGCCGTCAGCTTGTTTGCCATTCTAAGTTGTATAAAAAAAGAAGACTCACACATGCACTAAGTATTCGTCCAAGTACTCAAACACGAGTCACGACTAGATTCTTTTTTAACGTGTACCCTAAAATAATCGAAAAACAAAATTCTAACTCGGCACAGCACTTCACCTGCCGTCGCAAACTTCCATTTTAACTATAGACATTTAGACTACTACCCCATTTCCTATGACATCCTGGTAATCAATCAAGCAAGTTTCTATTAAATCACCTCCGTCAATGCTGATACGAAAAGTGGGCGTTTGTTAAATTAATGACCCGGCGAGTTGCGGAGTTTGGACTTCAGCAGACATCAACAAGTTCATTGTTTACATTCTAACTCAATTTGCGTGCGATGAAATTGTAAACAAATTATATAATTGACGTTCAATATTGTTGGCGAGTTCAATAGTGGAGTCTGTAGGTGTCTAGAACCTGGTAAGTGACAACCCTAGTTGCTGGGGGGAAAGGGATTGTTAGTAATGGAAACTGAGAATCCCATTGCTAGCAATATACCCACCCAACCAGGTCGACCTCCTAGCGGTTCTCCCTGGAAACTATTGTTTAATTCCTGATGAACTCATCATGATGGGCTAACTGGCCTGTTTTCATTCTCATCTATCACCCTTCACTGGTGCTTCGCCAGCGTATCCCGTTAGCGCAGGCGGGGTTACCATACCATTTTCACCGATCAAAAAAAAAAACGACGGTTCTCAATTCGATTGTATTTTTTTTTGTTACCTCATCACTCCGTCATTTAATATCCGATTTGGAATGTTCTTTTTTTTATAGAAAATACTTTCAGATTGTTCCCACAAAAATTTTATCAAAATCAGTTCAGTAGTTTAGTTTTGGAATCAAAATTATTGGTTTTACCATGATCAGGTGAGATCACATATTTTCATGTTTTTCTTTTATATATTTAAGACAACACTGATATAAGTAACAATAATAAAAACAAAAAAAGCCAATATAATCATTTTTAGAAATTCTGCCCGTCTGTATGTTTGTTTGGGCATCATGCAGAAATTATTTCATCAAATTCGATGCTGTTTTCACAGTCGTGTTTTTGAAGGTCTTATTTAAATCCCAGTTTATATTTTACCTTGATACGTTAACTACAAATTGTCTATATCATATTTTACTACTTTTGAAATTCACGCGTACCTTCGTACGACAAAAAACAAAATGCTAGTTAAATAAAATTAAATAGATTTTTCCGAAATATCGATTCATTTGACGTCTTCATCCTGCGTTTAACATTACGACTAAAAGTGGTAAATGACATTTCGTTCAGTAACACAAAGTAGGAGAAACACAGATTTCCCCGGATCGTGTCGAAAGTGACGTCCATTCAATCTTTATTTCTACTAGAGTAGTAATCAAAGAATTTTCAAAATATACGACTCAAATTAACTTGAATTTATTAATTACTTTTACCTTAATAATGATTTTACTTTAATCTCGAGTTTCATCTCAACTTGAAATGAATATAAAAAAAAAAAATTAAAAATCATCAATCAAAGAAATATCCTCTTTGAAGTTATTAAAAAACTAGACGATTATTGAAATTTTTATACGGAAATAATGATAAAAGCTAAGGAAACTGATTGGGTGAACGGCCCTTACCGCTTACTGGGTCCATTTTTTATCCTATCTAATTGCAGTTTCAAGATGTCGTCACATGGGATTCTTGCATGATTATACTAAGAATGGCAAGCAAGCTGACGGCCCAGCTGATGGAAAGTAGTAATCATCACTTATAGACATGAACACAGTACATCTTCACATCCATTGTACCCTTCATGCGTTGCCAATCCAGAGGGTTCCGAAGTAATGCCTCAAAACTCTGTGACTTCAATGCAATATCCCACTCTACAAAGTGATTCACGCAAACACTGCTGCTTTATGGCAGAAACACGGATGGGACAGAGGTATCCATGTAAACGACTTTACAAAGTCCTAACAGCACCATTGTTCCTTGCCACTTCTAGCTCTATCCCCACCCCCGCATGCACCGACGTCTTCAAGGGCTTTGTAAGCTGCAGCCCTCTAAAGGAGACTTCCAAATAAAGTCAGAACAATTGTAGAAAACGACAAGCATAGAAAATTCATAAAATTATATAAAAATCCCGTACACACACACACACACACACACACACACACACACACACACACACACATATATATATATATATATACATACAACTCTCCCTTTGTTCTACACATGAAAATGTGGCAACCTGTAACAATACTGCTTTTCGCTTTTCATCACGACTGTACTTTGTATCTTATCTTACCATCTACCCTTGGGCGAGCCTCGAACACACTCCCGTATTCATAACGCATATGCATCTACGAATGCAGGAAATTAGATACTGTTTGCATGCTCGTACGTTCTCGTTTCTGTTTTGCATATGTATGCATTATTTCAAATGGCGAATTTACTTTTGTGCTTTTAAATATTTGTTTAGTACGTTTATATGTTTGCTTCGAATTAGAATTGCGTCATTTAAAATAAATCTTATATATAAAATTCTCGTGTCGCGGTGTTTGTTACCAAACTCCTCCGAAACGGCTTTACCGATATTTATGAAATTTTGTGTGCCTATTGGGTAGGTCAGAGAATCGGCCAACATCTATTTTTCATACCCCTCAATGATAAGGGTGACCCTCCAGAAAAAAAAAATATTTTTTTGACAAATTTTTCCATTTTTATTATGATTTAGCATTGAAAAATACATACAACCTCAAATTTTCACCGTTTTACGATCAACCCCTGTTTTTTAATCGCGATTTTTATATGCTGCAATAGGGTTGCAAGATGGCAATCAAATGTAATAATTGTAGTAGGATAAATTTTCATGTATAGTTCTAAAAATAATGTATATGGTAAAACAACGTTTGCCGAGTCAGCTAGTAGTATTATAAATATTTACAAGCGACCGAAAGGAGGTTCTAAATTAATTTAAATTTGTTTTCTTTTTAAATAAATAATCACATCATAAATAACTGTGAAAAAGATTTTGTTGTAGGTAACAGGAAACGAGAAATTGATGGTCCACCTGATGGGGAATGGTAAAAGTCGCCTATAGACATGTTTTTTTTAATGAATGATAATGGATAAGTAACCCCGCCTGTGCTATCGGTATACACTGGCAGGGCACCAGTGAGGGATGATCTGTGAGGATGAAAAGGCATGTCAGTTAGCCCATCGTGACGAATTCAATAAATTAGTCACGATAGTTTCCAGAAAGAACCGCATGAAGGTCGACCTGATAGGATATATTAATATCAATGGAGGTCTAACCTCCCCATTGATAACAATCCCTTCCCCCTATAGACATGATTAGCACTATGAACTTCACAGAATATACTGTGGCGCCCTTAACACCTCTCATTCGTATTGTTTCTGCAGTTAAACAGGCATTCTTACATAACTCTCGTTTTGAAGGGATATGACAGTGAAATTACAGGATATGGAGGAATAAAATCATAGTCTTCAAACATAGCAACACATTAGGTACCATGGGTGTTACAGTATTCTTATATTATATATTTGGTGATATTTTTTTTTAATTGAATATTTTTAAATATTCATACTAATATTGTAAAAAAGAAAGATATGTTTGTTTGTTGATTTGTCGCCAAAAACTGCCTAATAAGCGTGGGAACTACTGATAAAATGTTTTCTAGGGGGAGGCCTGTATTCAGCAGTAAATAATTAACAACTGATATGACGATGATGGAAGGATAAGCAAGCTAAACTGGCAATGGGCTGGTCACATAGCTTGAAGAATCGACAACTGATGAGGAAGAGAAGTTCTTGAATGGCGATCGCGTACGGGTAAACGCAGTATAGGACAACCCCCCACTAGATGGAGTGACGACCTGAAATGCATTGCAGCGAGTCAGTGGATGCAGGTTGCTTAGGTACGTTCTTTATGGCAGTCTATGGAGGCTTATGTCAAGCAGTGGACGGATAATGGCTGAAATGATGATGATGATGATGATGAAAATGAAAAATACTCACTGATATTAAAAACTCTTTTATAGAACTTTTTTTTTATACAACTTAGAATAGCAAACAAGTTGACGGCCCATTTAATGGAAAGTGGTAACCGTAGCCTATAGACATGAGCAGTACCATGGACTTAACAGAGTATACTGTTTCACCCATGACACCCCCCATGCGTTGCCATTCCTTAGGACTCAGGTGTTATTCCTCCGTACCCAGTAAATTC